AAAATCAAATTTTCAAAACTAATCGCAATGATCCTCAAGTTTTTAAAAAACAACATAGAATTTCCAAAAGCAAAAAAACATTGTTATGACGTCACTGGTGGGGTGGCGACAGTAACTTTGTTTTGGTTCAAAATTTGGAACGGTTCTGGGATTGCGCAGAACTGCTTGCGCACAAAAATTAATTAAGGACTGTTCTAATACTAGTTCTGGACTGATTCGGAACCAAAAAAACACGCCGCAAATCACAAAATTCTAAAACAGTTACTCCTTCAGAGCAAGAACTGAGAGAACCGTTCTAGATCCTAGAATTGTTCTCAAATAGTTCTAGATAAACCAAAACACTGTCAAAACAGTTCGATTACGATCCTGGAATAACGAAAACGCGTTTTATAATATGCGCATGTGCAGATGAATGATTCCGAATTAGTTCTGAGTGGAACCAAAACAAAGCTAGTGACGACCAATGAACTATGTGACGACAAACTCTTAACAACTATCTTCTGATTCGACGCGATTGTTGCGGAAATCCCCACACACATTACGTTACACGAAAGGCAAAGACGACTTCACAACATACAAAAATGATATATTGTTGTATGTTGTATGTAATTACTCAGACGAACCAATAAAGTCACTTCCGATTTTTTGAAGAATATGTAATACTAGTATATTATGTGTGTAAAGTGCGACAAGCGAGTCAACCTTGGTAACGTATGAGGTAGCAGAGGGGAAGACGAAAACCTATACTGTGCGACGCAACGGGGCCTCGACGTGGTGAATGGCGAAAATTGCGGTTACCCTGACGCGACGACCGGCGTATATGTATATTTAATCTCGGGCCAATCAGGAGGGTTCTGCCCGCACTCCTTGCACACAGGTTCACTCACTTGTCGCAGTTTACCTACATATTTATTTTTTTAGAATTTATTAAATTGTATAAGAAAAATTAAAAATATCAGAAAACCCCCTAGAATTTCCCTATATCCCTAGACAATTTTTTTTTGCTTTTTTGTCCCTAGAACTAGGGACAAATCCCTAGTAGAAGTCGAGTTCAGGGCCGGATTAAGGGGGGGGCTAAACCCTGGGCCCCGAAATGAAGGGGGCCCCAAAACACCACCTCACACGGGAAAGAAATCATGCAACTAAAAGACGCCAAGCCAAATATTACTCAATTATAGTTGACTCTACCACAGATGTATCACATATGGATCAGCTGACGGTAATTCTTCGTTATTGTTTCAAGGGAACTGTGCACGAAAGGTTCCTTTGCTTTTTGCCAATTCATAGCCATACAGAAAATTCATTTTTTAATGAATTAAAATCTTTATCAGAAGCCAAGCTATTACCATGATCGGATTGTAGAGGGCAAACCTACGATAATGCCAGTGATATGTCTGGAAAATATAAAGGACTGCAATCAGTGTTGCCAGAGTTTTTCGACGGCATTCCTTCAACTAACTGGCTAAAACCCTTCATATCCTTCAAAACAGTGGAGGGGGGGGGGAGGGGGCAGCACAACGATATATTCTACCAAAAAAAATACTATAACATGAACGAAATTCTGTTAAAAAAATTTAAAAAAACCAAACAAACAAAATACTCATAGCCTTAGGGCCATATTCTCCGTAGTTCATAAAGCCTGACTTAGTGGAAACGCTTGGCTTTTTGTGTAACAAAAGCCAAGCTTTTCCACTAAGCTAGGCTTTATGAACTACGGAGAATATGGCCCTTAAGCTTAATTTTCTCACTTGCGCGAAATTCGCTCTTTTTTGACATTGCTCCGAAAATTTTACGTTTGATACACGCATAAAACGTCAAATTGTCGAAGCAATGTCAAAAAAAGAGCGAATTTCGCGCAAGTGAGAATGAGGCATTTATCATAAATTCTGACCCAGTGGCGTGGTGGAAATTAGCGTTTCGTATTTTTTCTCATGCAACTAATTAATTTATTTTATTAAAAACTAAATTTGTTGGTGAAATGATTGGAAAATTGGCTAAATATACAATTTGCCTCAAAATCCTTCAAATTCGGATAAAAACCTTCAATCCTTCAGTAGTCAAAACCCTTCATATTGAAGGAAATCCTTCAATTCTGGCAACACTGACTGCAATGCAAGCAGAAATTAAAAAAGTGAAATACTTAAGTGAATCCTTTGGCGATATAGGTACGTGCCATGCGCAGCACATTCTTTAAACCTGGTGGGAGAGTGCAAACGTTACTGATAGCTTAGAAGCTACTAACTATTTCGGCTTTTTGCAAAAACTATATGCCTTTTTTGCCGCATCGACTCATAGATAGAATATTTTAAAATCTAAAATTGCTACCTCATTAATAAGGCGATTGTAGTCAAATCACTTGCTTGTAAAGCGTAGTTCATATAGATGCGAATCACGAATTGCGAATCCGAATTTCGTTGAAAAAAAAATCGGCGTTTTTCAGCCCTTTCATATAAATGCGAACTTCGCAATCATTCTAGGAAATAGGAATAAGTATTTACTTTATTTTTCGGTGCCACACTGGAGCGTTGAAACTAATATTTACATGTTTTCTTTGGTTACAACCTTGAATAATTGTTTTTGTTGTTTCTTATTTTTATTGTTTGTTTGAATTTGCAAGAAAGAAATTTAGGTGTCTAAATAGAATAGCAAGGAGCATATTATAATTTAGTCCAATAAATGAGACTGAGAGAAAAATAATAGATAAAATTACCATGGAAAATATTGCAATCAACAATAAAGAAAATACTACACAGCAAATCACAAAAAACTAAATGACAAGAATGGGCTCTTGCACTAAAATTTGAATACGTAATTTAAGTATAAAATCCCAAAGGAGGGACTATTTTAGGCATATATACCAAAAAAGAAAGTTCTACAAGGTTTAATAAGTTTTTTACAGGCATTTCAAATTGGCTAAATTCAAATTAAATTAAAACGCGCCGATTTGCTGACGGTTTCCAGCGTTTGTTCAATGTTATGTTTTTGAATTCAGTTTTTTATTAGAATTCGGAAAGTTTGTTTAATTATATTTGCTAATATGAAGATTAGTGAATTAGAAAAACCCGTGTTTAGCTGTAGTACAAGTCTAAACTACAAACTTGACTTGAAAAATAGTGGACGACCATTGCCAATATTGAACTTTGTGCAAGTACAATCAAAATGTCTAATTTCTTGAATGCTTAGTAACTTTTTTAGTAACAAATATGTATATATCTATGGTTACCGGCTTCCTATTAAATGACGTCAAAAACTGGCTAGTATCAATCTTGCCCCTAAAATGTATATTTAATTTTGAGTCTGACTTTATGTAGAAAAATAATTTGAAAAATTTCTCTATGAGCCGATGAGCCCCCCCTGACATGCTTGTCACGAGCCGCCACTGCGTTTGACTACCAAGAATATGCGTGATTGATCAAATACTTGAAATATCTAACTTCAAGACTACATTATTTTAAAAAGAGAAAATTTTCTTTATTTAAAGAAATTTGGATGCAAGATAATATATTGCTTCTCTCTAAGAGTTCATTTTTATCAGTGTAGATATACATATCGCCCCTGTAGAGATAGAAGGGGCCATGTGTCAAATACAAGATTTTTAAGAAAACCAAGAAAACCTCGAATAAAACTGCAATTTTGAAAATTATTATTTATTTGCAATTATTTGTTCTCTTCCTGTCTACATGAGTTTATGTACGTGCCGCCAGGGCCGTAGCTAGAGTCAAATTTGTGATAGGGCAAGACAAATTTGACATAGGGCATAGGTACACTACTCCCCCCCCCCTCCCTTAAATTATAGGTGAACAATCTGGTGGTAATGACGCCGAAGGCAAATTTTTCAATAAATAACATCTCTGGCAAGTAAACAAAAGGGCGCTGATTTTCGCGCCGCCTTGGACCATTCGCACCAAGGATAATATACACTAATAATGAAATCCATTGGTAAGTTCATTGCGCACTGAGTGCATTCGTGTCCTCTTCTACTAGCATGATATAAAAGAAAGTGACAGAAGTACATGATTTTGGCACTAATTTCACCAATGGCTTTCGCCATAGCTACTACTACTATTACAGAATAGCTTATCATCATAAGGCCTGTGTATATCAAATCACAAGCTCCCCACCACGCCAAAGAACTAGTGATTACGTAGGCAGCGTGTCTTTTCTCGACTTGACGTAGGGTGTTTTTTAACATTTTTTATCATAAATGTATTCTAAACTACGACCGCTGGCGCAAACAGCTGACGACGTAGTTGATGATGTCGTTAATAGTGTAACACACCATATGTGGCCGCAATTTCCACAAATGAGGCCGATAAGCAATCCTCTGTAGTAGTGTATATTATCGTATTATCCTTGCATTTGCGCTCTTTCGAAACGAAAAACTTCCTCTGTGTAAACGTCAAACATTGTTGCATGCATTTAGGAGTTTTCGGACGGAAACACTTATCCTCGCACTTACTCGATTTCAGGCCTTTTCATTCATTATCTACTCTTAAATTTCCACGAGAAACCTTAACGCATGTGTTACGTTTTAAAGGTAGGGCATGATCATTTGAAAGATAGGGCATTGCCCCCCAATGCCCTCCCCTGGCTACGGCCCAGCGTGCCGCTTGTCACCTTTTTACACAACGTGAGTTAAGGTATGAAGATGTTATGGCGGTTATCCCAAAAATGGTTCAATTGCTGCTTGGCCCCTTTTTGCTCTACAGAGGCGATATATAAATATAAAAAAACTATAAATACCAAATATTTTCCGTGCGGAAAAAAATTAATAAAAAAGCACTAGGTGGAGAAAAAATTAAAAAGCACTAGTTTCTCAAAAACCGCTAACATTACGACTTGGCTGGGGGCGTCTTTGTCAAACCGTTGCTGATATTTTTCTGTCTGAGACTTATTTTAAGCTTGGGCCGTTATTCGTCCCAACTCCGCGTGACCGGAAATAGTGCTCTATAATAATCTACAGAATATAGGGCCGGGAGTTTGAAAAAAAATCAGCAAAGTGAACTGTGAATTTTGATATTATTTTTAAATTATTGATCAGAAAAAATTATGGTAAACCAACATAAATGTATATACCTACTATATCTACATTTTCATTCAATTATATTCTCCATCACTCAACCACTGTAAGTGAAATTTGGTAGTTGTCCAGATTGTCCAATTGCAGGAGGTCCGGCATATTGCGAAATGGTGCTTCCTGCATTTGAGGGTGGTCCGAAATAGTTCGTACCAGTTGGATTATTTTGCGATTCTTGTCGTTGGTTTTGATTAGGAACCCAGTAGTCGTATGCGTTATTAGGTAATTGTCCAGATTGTCCAATTCCAGGCGGACCAGCATGCTGCGAGATTGTGCTACTTTGTGCATTTGACGGTGGTCCAAAATGGTTCGTACTAGTTTGGTAATACGGCGATTGTTGGTTTTGGTTGTAGTATGGGTAGGTTTGGATCCGTACTGGTGGTGGTTGATAATTCCAATGGCAGCCAATACTTTCCTATTTCATGAAAATAAAGTTAGTAGGTTAGTTTTAATTATGTAAATATGTAGGTATAGGGTTTGGTTACTTACAATATAAATTAGACACCATAAAAGAAACAACTGAAACCCGTTCATATTTTTCATGGTGCTGCTTTTTGAATATATCACATTAGTTTAAACATTTTATTATATTTATTTTATAATAAAAAACAGGAAACTAGATTTTTTTCTATTGTGTACGCAACAATTTTGATGTCAATCAACTTTGATTTTTGAGGAAATTTCATGCGCGAGTGCTTAAAAATTATCGCTAACAAGCTTAAATGGAAATTACCAGTAGTAATATAACTAGTGCATGAAATATTTCTGGAAATTTTTGAAAATTTTGTCTGAAGCCAATTTTTTAACAAAATCATGAGTGCTATGCACGAATAGTTTTTGGCTAAGACGAAATTTTTTATATTTCCCATTAGGAAATATTTTATGTACGAGTTATAAATATTTTGATAGGAAATTTGTTTGTTTGTGCGTGATTGTTATTGATCTTTCCCACTTATTTATTTTTTTATTGTTTCAGAGAGTGTTGATCCTCTGTTAACGTCACACCCTGATAAATACTTGTATCTTGTATTGACCCTCCCTAATTTTTTGAAGATGTTGAACTTTTTCCGAACAGAAAAACGATCTGAATGCGAAGAGGCCCGCGTCAACTTCAGCTAAATCCTTGCCATAGGCGTTGTGGAAACGATGATATAGCTTACGTACCTAACGAATCCACATCACTAGGAAGGCCCTCTGATGTTAGCTCTAACTTGGGGCTGGTGTAACCTTCAATACTAACATGGGAGGCTTGGTCGTGGAGAGAGGTAAGATAAGGCCTAAGAGCTTTCAAGATAGAAAGGGTCTCCAATCTTGCCAATAGTAAGAAAGTTATTAGACAATTCGACACATCTTGACAACATCTTTTCGCTATGGAAGTAAAGAAAGGCTCAACAGTTCGTTTGTGAGAACAGTACATATACGTATCTTTGAGGGTAAAAATGGCGAAACTGGTAAGACCAACATAATCGAGCATGCAATTGATACTGGCCGTGCTCATCCGATCCACAAGTTGAGGAGTCATTAGTAGACAATTTGCTTGCAGAGGGAGTTGTTGAATAGTCTTCAAGTACGCGCACGTGAAAGATATTACCCATTACCCAGAACTGACACAGTAGCGTCAATTCTACGGCATTTGCAGACTCAAATTGGTTTTCGACTTTGAACAGTGTTCTCCACTAGAAGCAGTTTTTACCAATTTAAGGTAATGCCTTTTGGACTCTGTAACGTCCTCGCTACTTTTGCGAGGCATATGAATATCGTACTACGTGGAAAATATACCTTTGTTCCCTGTATGATGTGTCAGTAATGGGAAAAACTCTCGATGAGCACATACGAAATTTACGAGAAGTACTTACTCGTATCCATAATACTTCCAACAACGCGTTGATTTTTTTGGCCACGTAGTTTCACCCGAGGGAATTCATACTGACGAGTACATAGGGGCGGGCGGCCAAGCGTTCTAAAGACGTTGATGAACCCAATATTTCGGTATAACTTTATAAAACCTAGAAAATATTGTAAGTTACAACATTTCCTACGAAAAATTCTTATATGCCAACTTTTATTTTTGGTCGTGATAAAAGTTATTCAAGAAAAAGAAGAAAAATGGTCAACTGATAGGTTCTGTTTCTAAAGCCTAATTACTAAAAAACTAATTAAGTCATAAGGGTAATGATTTCACGATTCTAAAGAGTTTTCATTGCCCTTCATTATGACATGTAACATTTCGGATTTTTTTAATTTTTCAGACAAAAAGGAATAGCTTTTATCATTCAATCTGAAAGAGAATAAATATTTAATTATCTTCAACCTGCTCTAACTTCGATGTTTGTTGAGATATAATTTTTCTCTTTAGACAAAAAACTGCGGAATTTTATTAGCTTCATTTTGTCTCAATTATTGTTCGGTCTACAAATAATAATAACGCCTGCAAATCATATTAAAGAGGCACGCGTCCGAATTTTTGTAATGTTTTGCACCTCCGAGTGAAAATGTGGCATGGACTACCAAAATGTAGCTAAATAATTATTAGATAACCTGGACAATGATCGGTTAGAAGATTAGGTAAGTTGGAGGTGAATATAATTTTTTTATATAACTTTCATAAACCGTCAGCTAATAGCAGATTTTGCTAACCGATTTTCTCTTTTCGGAGATGTCAACCACTGAGAATTATGTCAGTGCTGAGCTCAAAAAATAAAAATGTAGCAACCGGACGTCTGCTAGGCATATGCAAAATTTATTTTCCTTCTGCAGTAACAAATAGGTTATTTTTTCAATATCTCTTCCATAGCATTTTATAACTTATTACCATTATACAGTAAGCAAGTAAAGGTTGGAATAGAATCCATAAATATACAGGGTTGTTATTTTTTAAAAAACCTCGGACACGTCCGATTGCTGATTTTATAGTGGCCGTTTTTTTGATGATATTATGCATGCTTAAGCACAATCAAGGTAAAGCTAGCAATCATATTTACATTAATGAACAATTAACTTTTTCCAACCAAAATTTGTTTAATATGGCATACAAGAAAGAGAAACAATTTAAATATTGCTGGACAAAGAATGGAAAGGTTTATCTAAAGAAGAGTGATGATTCCCAAGCAATTCTTGTTTTTAATGAGGACGTCCTCAATAGACTACAACATTAACAAATTTAGTAGTCTTCTGATCTTTTCAATAATCATCTTGAAATTACTTATCACAATATCTGCATTTAATCAAAATATCAAACTGAGTGTCAAACAATACAAAGATATTTCAGAATTTAAGTTAGCCATAACTACAAGGTGTTTGATCGAATCACACCTTAATATTGTATGCCTGAATGCTCAATCATTGAGGAACAAGCTTGGTGAGTTGGAAACACTATTTAATAGTTTTGATCTTCCAGATGCAATTGTAATTACTGAGACCTGGATATCTCCAACTGAAGTTCAATATTTTAATTTTAATGGATATAATACAATTTATATAAGTAGACAGAAGAGAGGTGGTGGAGTGGGTATCCTACTGAAAGACAACTATACATTTCAGATAATATCAAAACTTGAAACAAATTGTTCTATGGTTTTCATTTCTATTGAGGGGACTGATGCTATTATTGGAGCCATATATAAGCCACCCGACTTCGATTATAATTTATTTTTACAACTACTGGATGAAAAACTTGGCCTCATGGCAAGTAAAGGCAAAACTTCGTCGGTACTGGGAGATTTTAATATCAACTTTTTAAGTCTCACCGCTCAACGTGACCTGCTTCAGTACATAGCTAATTCTAACGGTTCTAATATTGTAAACCAAACGATTCCCACAAGAATAACAAGTAATTCAAGCTCCCTAATCGACTATGTAATAACCAATAACTTGAGATATACCAGTAGTTTGTCTCTAATAGATTATGCTCTGCTTGATCATAGACTCCAGTTTTTGTCTGTAGGATCTAGGAAAAGAGTTGACAGTAATGCAAGCAACACTTATACTATTACGAATTTGAACAAAATATTATTCAGAAGGGACTTAATTCAATTAAGAAGCTGTGAATGGCATGACCCTAACATTTTGTGTGATCAAATGATCCGTACTTATTTGAATAATTTGAACCATAAAACTTATAGAAATCGATTTCGAAGCAAAAGTGCACCATGGTTCAATGTAAGATTATACAACTTATTGTGTCAACGTGATTACCACTACAAAAGACACAAATTATTTCCTAACAATGTCTTTTTAGAAGACCAATATAAAAAATCTCAAAAGGAATTCAAAAGGGCCATAGAAAATACCAAAAAAGAGTATTATAGTAATGAGATCAACAGGGCAGAAGGCAACACAAAAAAGCTATGGAATGTACTCAATTCTGTTCTACATAATTCCAAACCACAACCAGCTAGTAATAAAGTCCCAAAACTCTTGAAAAATAACACACTGACTGATAATCCAATAGAAGTAGCCAACTTGTTTAATGATTATTTTACTGGGATAGCTGCAAACCTTGCTAGCAACATTCCTCCTACAAATCTCATACCGCAAATGCCAGATAGCGGGAGACACTTATATAATTGGGAAAATGCCACCATAGAGGAAATTGCAGAAATCGTGAAAAACCAGGAGCCGATGAATTGAGTATTGACGTAATCAAGGAGATGAGATGGTGCCTCTGCTGTGTAAACTTGTGAACCTCACACTTGTCAAGGTTTCCATTCCTAATGGGTTGAAAATGGCGAAAGTTATCCCACTCTTTAAAGACGGAGATCGCTCTTCAGTTCACAATTACAAGCCCATTTCATTATTGACGGCTATCTCAAAAGTATTGGAGTCTTGTGTTAACAATCGACTAAATTTTTTTCTTGATTCAGTTAACTTTTGGTACCCGGTACCCTGGTCAGTATGGATTTAGGCGAAATAGCAGTACAGTCTCCGCCACAACTGACTTATTAACTAACATTTATGAAAAAGTTGATAAAGGATTTAAGTGCGTTTTGCTGTCATTGGATCTAAAAAAAGCTTTTGACACAGTGGATCATTCTGTCTTGCTGTCTGTTCTGGAACAATCTGGTATTCGTGGCACGGCTTTGTTGTGGTTCAGAGAGTATTTGGATGGGAGACTGCAGTTTGTTCAGTGTGGTGGTAACAAGAGTTCAACTAAAGACATACAGTATGGAGTGCCGCAGGGTTCTATCTTGGGACCAACCTTATTTTTGGTGTACATAAATTCCATTTCACTTCTTCGTCTGAATGGAGCCGTAAATTTGTATGCAGATGACACTTGTCTATTGTATTTTGGAAGGGATCCGGATGTAATGAAAGATATTGTAGAGAAGGATTTAAGGACAGTAAGTGAATGGCTACGTTTCCATAAATTAACCTTAAATGTTTTAAAATCAAGTTACATGGTTATTACTAAAGGTGATGACTGGCAACAATTGATTTTAAATTTTCATAGTCAGCCTTTGTTACGCAACAACTTTATAAAGTATTTGGGCCTTAATATAGACTCTAAACTCACTTGGGAGGTTCATATTGGTGTTTTATGCAAAAGGATCGCTCCAGC